TAAGAGGCCCAAGGACATTTTGACTTTTAGCCAAGAAACTGGCTACTTTTCTTTGGGGTATTTTTACCCTAACTATCTAGCCAATTCCCACCTCCTATACTTATCATACCAACCTCTGAAGAGGTTACCCAAATTGCCCATGGGAAATTGGGACACAGACTATTCTGGCTTCTTCCATGCTGAACAGGGATACAGAGTGAGGCAATTGGGGTACCCCTTTAGTAGGTCTACCTAAAAGACTCCAAAGTTGCATAAGTCTTAACTGTAGGGAGAAAAGAAAGCCCTTGACTGGTGCACAGGAGATGTGAAGAAGTAAAGGCAAGAGTAGTTAGCATTACAGGTTCTAGGCAGGGAACCAGAAAAAGGTCAGGACAGGGCAAATTTCAAATGTTCTTAAAAGAGTCCATTGGAATTTCTTGATGAGAGCTTCCAAAAGCATGACTCAACTGGGTTTCTCCTCATTTTCCTTTTGTCATCCAAGGCTGGAATTGTTTTGTTTTCAGGCACTTAGATAGCTATTGGAGTGGCTAGAATCAGTGTCAGTTCCCTCTCAAGGCTTCTAGATAACGGGAGAAAACAACATTAGCTATCATTTTAGAGCAAGAGTGGTTTGTCTCCCTTAGCTGTAGGTGGGCACTACAGTATTGCAGACCAAGATTTGAAGTCTTACATCTGAGCAGCACTTTGTGATTAGAAACAAAATCATCAATGAGAAATCATTTTCTAAATAACATTGTATATGGACTTAAGTCTAATGTCTGGGAAGTGTAATCCCTTGAACTCTTAAAGAAATATGTTGATCACTTTAATGATTTGTTATACTTTCCTTTTGGGTGCTTAGGACTGTATACAATTGGCCCAAATAGACCAATTTATTTTTACTTTTAATGTCGTTTGAGGATCTGTTCTTGGAGGTCACATGGGCTTGGGAAGAGCTCCTGGCTGCTTTTATCAGTTCTGTCTATGTGAAGATAAGTCAGACTGTTCTTGCAGAAGACCCAGGTTCGAATCCCAGCACAGACATGGCAGCAGACAGCTGTCCATAACTCCAGTTCCAGGGGATCCAACAACCTCTTTTGTTTTCTGTGGGCATTGCAGGACATGGGTGCACTTACCGACATGCAGGCAATATACACACATAAAATAAAAATAATATAAAAAAGAAACGTCCATAACTCCAGTTCCAGGGGATCCAACAGCCTATTTTGTCCTCTGTGGACATTGCAGGACATGGGTGCACTTACCGACATACAGGCAATACACACACATAAAATAAAAATAACATAAAAAAAGAAAAAATAAGTTTATGTAGACTGTGTACAAACAAAATGGATATTTTAAAACATTTTGAGAATAAACCAGACTCAAAAAGGTACTCAACAAATAGGATTTTTACATAACTGGAGACCTAGAGACACTGTTCAATAGATTTAAAAATGCTTAGGGTACCTAGAGTTATAAGGCCTTTGAATGTAAATTTTTACTTGTGTATTTTAATTAGGCATGCCAGAAACAAAACCATTAATTTTTGTGCAAAATAGAATGAAAAAAAAATTAAAGTGGCCACAGTTTGAAATTATCTTGACATAATGACATATAAGGACAAGTATCATGGACACACATGGACATGATTACATGAGCTCTCAAACACATAGAAACATAAAAATACATGACAATTATACAGAATCTTAATACGTGAAAACAATTATCATAGACATATGATGCAATTATAAAAAAACTAGGTGCATCCAAAACACACTACTTATAGTGCGAGATGTTGATGTCTAGTCCTGAAATTAGCCATGGACACAGGGAATGTTTATTTCAGAGATGGTAGAGGTCTTAGTACCTCCAGGGTGAGAACCCCAAGTGCTTTTTTGGTTTTTCTTTTATTGGCCTTGTAAAACAACTACAGCATAAGAATCTGAAGTACAGTATGTGATTTCTCATAGGACATGAAGTTTTTTTTTTCAGTTACTTTTCCCCAATTATTATCTAGGTATAAGGTTTTGTCATGGCTACTGACTATATTTAAGGTTTTGGAATAACAAGCTCAAGATGAAGGTTGTGGTGTTGGCCACTGACCGACACCTCCACACAGCTCCTGGTGTGTAATGAACTTTGTGGCAATCTTCTACCTTGCTTGTGACTTTCCAAAGCAGCTTGTCTAGTTAACTCTATGTTGTCCAATTCTTTTTTTCTTATACCATTTGGTTCCCTGTGCTCTAAGAGGCCTTTGAATTTTTTTGACATTTTGAGTTAGCAATCTTAAAAGCCAAGGTCTGTATTTATAGGTCTGTAATAAAAGATCTTTCATCTCAATGTGTGAGACAACTTTAGCAATGGCAGCTTATAAACTAGACAAAAAATCTGTATGTGGCTTCTTAGCTGATTTTATAATTTTAGTATAATTTTAGTAAATGATTCCGAGGATTGTCTAGGACTTGTAACTTTACCCATGCCCTAAGACCATGGAGCCTTACTTGGGAAATGACAGTGTCATCATATTGAAGTTGTCTCTCAACTCCAAGTTGTGCTCCAGACCCCATTAAACATTTAGTTGTTACAGTAATATTTTTTTTTATTTTTTTAGTAATAGTTATCAGCTTCATCTTTCCACGAAGTTCTAAATTATAAGCTTCTGCCTTTAGAATCACTTTAGCTAAAGCTTTCAAATCAAATAGTATTAATCTAAACTGTATAGCAAGACCTTGTAAAATTCCTCTAACATAAGTAGAATGTATTCCATAAGTAACCACTGTTTGTTTTATTTCTTTGATAGTTTTAAAAGTTACAGGAGTATGAGAAAATTGAAATGTCACTTTCTGATGGTCCTCATTTGGAGGAACTTGATTAACAGCCACAGGATAATTAAATATTATCTATATAACATTCTTTACAGGTTTTCTTTGAAATTCTGTATGTTTAAGTCCAGACTTGCACTTAGTCATATCCTTTTTCTTTACAGTTGTATATTTAGGATTAATGGAGGAGAGTAATAATTTTTAGTTTTTTCTCTTTTTTGTATTGTCATTTTCTTTCTTTAAAAGTTCCTTATTGAGATTTAGATATTTTTCTTTCATACTTAGAAGATGAGGTCTCTGTTTCATTGGTCTTTTTAATTGTCTTAACCTAAGGACCAGGAGAAATGGGAATTATCTACCCTCACTAATGGGCTCTCTTTAAAGACTTCATAACCAGTGTCCATACTCTATAGTTTAAAACAGTCTGCCCTTCAGGATGGAACCAATAACATTTTTTTACCTGTTTAAATAACTGCTTAAAAGTTTTATTTTTTACTTTGATTCCCCCTCCTTACCGGAGGGCTTTTGACAAGTGGATATATTGCTCATCCACTGTGAATTTCTCATTTAACTTTTACTTTTTTAATTTACTTTGCCAACTATTTCTGAAAGTTTTGCTTACCTCTGAGCATACTATTTCCCTTTTGGTTCCACTGCCTAAACTTGAAGCACAGTCACCTTGAATTATTTTCACCTCGTTCCTTGAACCTCTTGTTCAGGCACCAGCTGTACAGACTCAGGTCTCCTGGTGGACGAATGGAAAGAGTGACGGTGAAGGACTCAACCCTCTGATGGAGGAGAAGAGTGAGTTTAATTCCTTACCAGTTCTTTTTCATACTCTCAGAACTACAGTTACAAGTTCGTTGTTTGTGCCCAGATACATGAAAGAATTGGTTTCACAAGGAACAAAACACATTCTACAGTTTTATATTTAATGGTGATCAGTAGGCTACAAAGAGTATATTAGTTTCTTACACAATATGTAGATTTTACCAATTTTCAGGAAGGCTAGTCAACTGGTGATTAAATTTAACATTAAATAGTCATCCTATGTTTTGCAGTATCATGATTTTGACTTATGCTCTGATCTATGACCAAGGCAGCGTTGTACCAAACCCAACATTCTTGTCTTCAAGAAATATCCAGACCTCGTCCCTGATCATTCTTAACCTCTTCCTTGCTGTTCTCCTTCACATGCTGAGTCCTATTCATTCAGGTATTTGTACCCAAATGTCCTTCACTGGAAATGCGCCCACTGGAGTCCAATCAGTCCATCCAGTGGTGGCCTCCATCTGTTGCAAAAAGAAGCTGCTTTGAGGAGTGCTGTGTGGCTTGTTCGTCACTCCAAGGAGGTCTCATCTATCTTGCACTGCATTCTCTGCCAAGCAGCTCCCAGGTATCCATATGCATTAATGTTCAGAAGCTCTCTATATGCATTTTTCATAGAGTTTCTAGGGCATCACTTTTCCCTCAAGGTTTCCTAGACCCCATGCTTTTAATCTTGTCTGTGTCTCTTTGTAAAGTGTTCATGTGTGTATATATGTGCATGAAGATGTTTTTGTATTTGCACATGTGTGCAGGTATGCATGGGTCAGTCTGCACATTTGGGTGGCCATGGGGACCAGAGATTGATGTCACGTGTCTTCTATCAATGTCCCCCTTACTTTTTGAGACAGAGTCTCTCATTGAACCTAGAGCTTGCTGTTTTGGCTAGGCTTGTTGGCCAGTGAGCTCCCAAGATCTGCCTGTCTCCAACCCCTTTCAGCACTGGGGTTATAGGTATGCCACCAAACCTGACTTCTACTGGGGTGCTAGGAATCTAAACTCAGGTCTGCATGCTTGCACAGCAAGTACTTTACCCACTGAGACATCTTCCCATCCCCTCTTTGTCTATATTTTTATCATTAGTTTTGAACAATTTAATTGCTATATGTTTTGGTAAGGGTGGACATTATGGTAAGAATAGCCCATGGTAGAAGACACAGATCACCTCTTAGCCAGGAACCAAAATGAACAAGCAAAGGGACAAATTGCACATTTCAATTTGAGGGAACACACCCATGCCTTAAAAACGTCCCGTTAGGCCTTACCTCCTAAATCATCTACCCCCACCCAGTAGGACTGAAACAAATGAGGTAGACCCATCTTGCCCTAGGGTTATTTTATTTTTATTTATGTGTACATGTGTGTGGCTTATGTGCGCAGATGCCCATGGAGGCCAGAAGAGGGCGTCAGGTCCTTTGGAACTGGAGTTAGAAGCAATTTTGAGCTGCCCAGTGTACCACATTGGGCTGGGAACCAAATTCTGGAAGAGCAACAAGTGCTCTTAATTGCTGAGCCATCTTTTTAAGCATCTCTCTATGTTATGCTTAATTTTCAAATGAAAACAATGTTGAGGTTGTAATTTCACCTAACATGATATGACTATCCCATCATACAATGCCCAATGCATTATATATCCTAGAGTAGGTGATAAGGTCTTCAAGGAATGCTTAGTCCTTTAGTGTCTCATAACTCAATATAATCATATAGGTTCACAACACTTAACCATTTAACACTCATCTCAATTACACATTCAAAAAAGAATAACACAAGTATCTGCTTAACATATGTGTGTACATGCACAAGCCTATTCTTAACCAAACAGGACAAAAATACTCATGTCAATTACAATCCACGTTTCTGCAACTGGTCACATGGCCTAAGTTGGTATTTGTAGCTACATTCCTCAACTACCCATTCTGTATTTCCTCCACCATCAGCAAGCACCCCTGCAGGTCTTGGCATCCTGCAGGTTCTGCCTCCAGAATCCAAACAGGCCCACCAAGTATTGTGCTTCTTTCTTGGTGGAGGGAGGGAACAAATGCAACAACTTATTCTTCACCTTACAGGGAATGTCTCTGCATGCTCCACACCACTGAACTCCTAGAAATTTCACTGAGGTAGAAGGCCCTTGAATTTTGGTTGGATTTATTTCCCATCCTCTCATGCACATATGCTTAACCAACAAGTTCAGACTGTCTGCTACCTCCTGCTCACTGGATCCAATCAGCATAACATCATCAATGTAGTGGACCAGTGTGATATTTTGTGGAAGAGTCAGGCAATCAAGATCCCTTTGAACCAAGTTATGGCACAGTGCTGGAGAGTTAATATACCCTTGAGGCAGGACAGTAAAGGTATACTGTTGGCCTTGCCAGCTGAAAGCAAATTGCTTCTGGTGGTCCTTATGAACTGGTATTGAGAAAAAAGCATTTGCCAAATCAGTAGCTGCATACCAGGTACCAGGAGACATATCAATCTGCTCAAGTAAGGAAACCACATCTGGTACCGCAGCTGCAATTGGAGTCACTACTTGATTAAGTTTTCGATAGTCAACTGTCATTCTCCATGACCCATGTGTCTTCTCCACAGGCCAAATAGGAGAGTTAAAGGGAGATGTGGTTGGAATCACCACCCCTGCATCTTTCAAATCCTGGATGATAGCACTAATTTCTGCAATCCCTCCAGGGATGCGATACTGGTTTTGGTTCACTATTTTCCCTGGCAGAGGCAATTCCAGTGGTTTCCATTTGGCCTTTCCAACCATAATAGCCCTCACTCCACAGGTTAGAGAACCAATGTGGGGGTTCTGCCAATTCCTAAGTATATCTATCCCAATTATACATTCTGGTACTGGGGAAATAACCACAGGATGAGTTTGGGGACCCACTGGACCCACTGTCAGTCGGACTTCAGCCAAAACTCCATGTATGAACTGACTTCCATAAGCCCCTACTTTAACTGGAGGGCCACAATGTTTTTTAGGATCTCCTGGAATCAGTGTCAACTCAGAACCAGTATCCAGTAGGCCGCAGAATGTCTGATTACTTCCTTTCCCCCAATGTACTGTTACTCTAGTTAAAGGCCGCAGGTCCCTCTGGGGAAGGATGGGTGAGAGGTGAACAACATAACTCTTTGGTACTGTGACAAGGTCCTTCCTCAATGGCACCGGCCTTCCCTTCATTCAAGGGGTTCTGGGTGTGTAAATTGTCTCAAGTCTGGAAATTGGTTGATTGAGCGAGATTCTCTATTGCTACCATCCAATACTGACTTCCTATCATTCATCCTAGAGCTTTTCTGCTTATACAGATCAAATAAAAACTTACTAGGCTTCTTATGTATGTGGTCCCTGGAAACACCATGATTGATTAGCCAGTACCACAAGTCCATTCGAGTCATGCCATTGTAGGTATTGTTTTGCCTTTGCTGCCCATTATGATAAGTACGCTCACCTTGTCTTTGGTAATTCAATACTGCCACCTGACCCCTACTCCGAGGTCCTGTTACACCAATTATATTTACATTTAATTTATGCAATTGAGCAGCAGCATCTCCAACTGTAAGATTCGGCATAAGGAAAAGAGCAAAAACAAAGCTCTTCAAACGTTCTGGTGTCTCTCTCAGTACTTTCCATTTTATAAAATCAGTAAAAGGCATGCCCTCTGGACCCTCCCATTGTGGAGGATTTGGTCTTGCACTGTGAATCCACACAAGCATACCAATTTGCCTGAGCCTTACAATCCCTTCATCAGTAGTAAGCCAAGAGATATCAGGTATCTCCAGCTCTCTGTCAGTAGGCCATATTTTGATAAATACCTTAGCCAACCAATCAAATAAACTTTTAACACCTTTTTTTTTAAGTTCACAAACTTCCATATTAAACCTCAAATCTCCAATCAAGGGGGTCCCGGGAATCTATGCTTGT